GACTATTGTATGAGTATTAAAAGCAAAGACATGGCAAAGCTTATATTAATTATTAATCTTAATTTATAATGAACATTAACAAATATCTATTTATACATGTTCAATTGACTCATTGTGAGGACTGCCATTATTAACATTGATGGCATCTCCATCTGTATAATTAATTGAAGTGAATTCAAATGCGTCAAAAAGTGGAGAAAACAATATTTAAAATAAATTGGTTGTTATTTAATTACATATCAAAACCTGTCCATTTTCAAAATAAGTAGTTAAATTTGATATTTCTGATATAGATATGATACAATTGATATGTTCAATCGGATAGTACTAGGTTTTTTTAGCTAATTGGTTTTTGTAATTGTCTGTAATAACTTGAATAACGTGGTTATATTTAAGTTAATTATAAGATATCTTCATAAATTGATTTTGTTAATGTCCCTTTTAATAACGGGAATTTTATTTATTTACATAACTTTAATGTACATAATAAAAATTAAATATGGCTGACATAACACCTTACGGCATTGTAGTTTAACCCTGGTTCCTTATTCTGAGAGATAATAACATTTTTTTTTCCTAGATATAACCACATTAGTGTTGGTTCTTTATAAATACAAAGATCGCTTAAAGATTTAAGAAGTGGAAGCATATGATGCGTTCCGAACGTATGTAATGATAAGGGTATGTAATAACAGTGAAATTACAATGTACAGAGGCATAATATTTTAGTTCTCAGAATTGACAATACATGAACGTACCATGATATATTGTGTATAGCCGACAATTGTCAATTTAATGTAACTGTACAAAAAAAATTGTTTTTTAAAGTACCTGGCTATCTGAGGTACCTGGCTAGATGAATGCCTCTAAGTTAATGTAATAGACTGATAAAATCTAGTTAATGTTATTTTAGAATAAGATATACGAAGACTATGTTAATTCAAGTGTTTATATCGTTTTACAATAAAAGCCACAGATGAAGCATGTGAGAGCAGCTTCCTACCTACTACGACTTACGCTAGTAAGGTTCTGAAATCAAATGTGTCGCACACCAAAATAAATTATTTGTCGATATATATCTGAGTGACTGTTTTCGGTAAAGAAAAAATTAATCCAAGGAACGACAATATTGAAGTAGTGAAGACAAGGAGTGACCCCCGTTACATTAGATTATATGTATATATAGAAAAAATATACGCACTTTACCATTAATTGACAGTTAAGAACTGACTACCCCATTTGGATTAACAGTCGCTGTTAGAAACTCCAACAAAAATACATAGTAATTAAAACCTCATTTAACATTTATTTTATAATTTTCAAATAGAGAACGCTGTGTTCTCAAGTTCACAATTGTTTCTGTTCTTCTTCAATATTTGTAACAGTGCTGAATATCATAAAAATATATAATTACAAAAATCACATCCGTGCACCTTGTTGAGATTCATACAGTCGCAACGGTAAGTTTATTTCTATTTCGTAGCCACAGAGGTGTAAATACTATCACACAACGGACAGTTTAAGATACAAATTGGAATAATGTAGTTGACACTTTTACTTTAGAAATAGGCATTAGTAAGGATTAATTATATATACGTCCTTGTAAGTCGAATTCTCATGGGACACACCTTATGCGTACCCTACATTAAGTGATGAAGGTAACTTGTCGCAGCTAATTTATGTTGATATTGGAATTATCGAACATGTCAGAAGTTGGGATTACCTACACATATGTGTATATACTCATACATGTATCATATAGATTATTTGTTTGTAATTATTTCTTAACATATCTTTTCGTGTTTCTTCTTTCACTAGATGTGCCTGTAGTTTCATCTGCATGAAATGTGTAGCTACATGTTATTCTGATGTATAAGTTATATTACTGTAAAGTTTCATTGAAATGCGTTCAGTAGTTTTTGCGTGAAAGAGTAAGAAACATCCACCAATCCATCTATCTATCAATACTTACAAACTTTCGCGTTTACAATATTAGTAAGATAAATATTAATACAGCAAAAAATTTATTTTCACCACACATCGTGAACCACAAAAGAGTTAAAATCTGGTGTGTCCATTTATACTTTTGACTAACTTTGTTGATGAATACACAAAATTAATCCCAGATATGGTGACAGGTTTTCCCACGGCCATGTTGGATTGAAATCTCCCCAGCGAAATGCTGTGAGCATTATTGATTATTACATCCCTAAACTAGGATTGAACCATAAAGATATATTTATATATTATAAATATGCGAGGAATAAAGTCACCTATAATCTAGATTAGAAACTAGTTTTAACTTAATACCTAACCTTTTACTAAGGTATATTTTGTTCAATGTGTTCATGATTATCTCTATATTACCTATGTTAGTTGCCAGACTTTGGACAGTAGATATTTTCTTGACAGACAAATAGATAGTCAAATTATTTATTCATCAATTACAAACACATAACATTATTAAGTTACAGAAAAAATAAATATACCAATAAAAGAAATATAGATAACCTTTTGTGCCACAAAGGTAGGTAAGTAGTCAATAATGAATAGTGTATAATACAGTGAAATTACAATATATGTAAGATGGTATTCCTCCGGAACGATAACAGCTAGAACAATCACATTACAAGTATAACCTAATGTCTTTGCAGCTGTTTATGTATGTAGGCTACAGTTACTTCACCATTAGGTGGACCATCAGCCCTTTTGCAATTCCAGTTATATAATAATTCTATCAAAGAAAACATATATTTCATTTTTTTTTTATCATGACTATAATTATGACAACCCACGAGTTAGTGCGAAACAATTTGAATAGAAAATACCAAACTTTCGTCAAACCCGTTTGAGTATCTACCTCATTGAACCAAATACCTTAACAAACTTTTAGGTTAATATTATTGATTAAGGCGTTTATAGGGCATGTCTCTATTATTAAAATGTCAATGATTATATTAGAACACAACGTTACGTATATTGATAATTTTTCAATACATTGTGTTTAGTAATATTAACAAAATATTTTTTTTATAATTGTACTAACAAACCACCAGAAACTGACGTAAAGAAGTCCGTGATCGATTCAGGTATGTTAAGTCGGTTAAGATTTCTCATCATATTATTTTAAATGTTTAGGTACTAGACAATTGATATACATAGATGCATTTTTTATAAATCCATACATAATACACATAGAAAACACCCAGACCGGTATAAATAATTACACTCATGACATCAACGTGTTCTTTGTATGTCTTTATAAACACTTGGTCTTAATTTAGATATATGGAAGAACCAACTAAAGTGTGGGCGGGGGTAATATTTCATAACATTAAACTAGAAAAAATGTCTAAAAACGTAATGAATCATAATTGAAAAACTTCTGCCTACTTTCGTCAATCACTATTAAATACATTAAAAAACTGTATCAGTAATAATATTACTCTACATCACTGACTGTGATCCTAAATATAGAAATTACTAAGCAACTGATAGGAATATTAAATAAATACACATTTGATATATACGTAAATAGTACGAGACAAATACAATCTCAATCTTGTATACAAATATTTATATCCTGATAGAATCGAACCCACAAACATTGGAACTGATGGGGAATTCAATCCATTACGATTCTAACGTAATGTATTAAAGAATAGTCATTTATGTAATCATACCTACTAGAATATTGGATAGTAAACATCAACAATTTGGGCAAAATATTAAAGTTTATGTTCTATACATAGAGAAAACCATATAGATACAGCACTGTTCTAAACGTACGTTGTTCTTGGAATATTGTATACCCACTTCAAAGGTTAAGAAAATAGCGTGATATTCAACCGTCATGAATTTTAGACAGAGTTCACGTCATGTAAGTTGCTGTTTAATCTTGAACGTAAATATCTTTTATTATAACAAACAGTGGGTGTATGCAAATAGGAAGTGCACAGCAATTACCATTATTTAAAGAATTTAAGACCAACCGCTTGACAAGCCGTGCGTGGTTAGTACGAGGTTAAAAAATTGGTAGAAAGCATAATATGTTTTTATTTTAATTGTTTGTATACATTTTCATACATGACCTTACTTAAATAAAAAATTAAAAAGTATTTAAACAATTTTATGATCTCTACAAATCTACATATATACAGGTGATATTATTATGGAAAACTAATAATACATTTTATAATTTCAAGAAAGCACTTTATGTTTATAGAACATCTGATTTTAAGTAAAAAATAATTTACGTTATTGATTACTTAAACGAATCCGTAATATATATAGTTACATAAGAAAATATGTAAAATAGTGGATATTCCAGTGAATTGACTTTACACAAACTGTGTATTATGTATGTATGTTGTATGTATGTATGTATGTACGTAGTAAATGAAATAAATAAAAAAAAATCCTCATAGTACGATTCATTATTACTAATTAACTTATTGTATAAAGACCATTAAATATAATAATTCTTCTTAGATAATTATCTACATGGATATGAAAACATATCGTCATGTGTAAGTAAGTCATGTGTATACCAAGGTATAATAAACCAACTATTCATGAATTAAATTAATTATTATTACATATGTCATGTTGTAGATATACAGTTGTTCTAACTTTTTGTGTTGAAATTGGTTACAAAATAGCTATCTGGACATAATTATGTCAATTTTATTAAGCGTTGACGCTATTACAGTGAACGAATAATAAACAATACGAGTCTGTAATAACAGGGTATGTTAATACCTCTCTAGACGGTAGTACCGTCTATTCATATATATATTCTGGCATATATATAATTACATATATATATATATATATATATATATATATATATATGCTAGAATAATAGAAACAAACATGCAATAAAATATCTATAAGTGTTATGCAGAAAGTTTGTGTTGCGCAGGATTGAACCCGCGACCAGCAACATACGCGTCATCTTTTAATAATAATAATAATAATAGATCTCGATTAGCACTTACCTGGACTTCTATTCCCGGTATAGGAAATATCTTCAGCGGAGGCACATCTCTAGGTGAATATCTACAAAACTCTCGGTCACCCCGGTACCATTTCACTGAGTACAGCGTCTCTCCTTCCAATTCGTAAAGACACTTCATTTCTACTATGGACCCTCGCTGTGCCGCCTCTGGGGCTATTAAGTGTACGTTTTTTAAAGTTAACGATTCTGAAACAATAATATTTTCAACTGTCTTATTTGTATAACTTGCAATAGCTACATAAAGTATTGTAGGTATTTATGTAATAAAGATACAGAACATTTATCTGTATTGTTAATTATCGTAAATTTGCCTGGAATAGAAAATAAGCTATCGGCTCACCTAATGGAAAGATATATTCGTCGCCTATGTATATGAGTAATATGAAAATTGTAAAATCCGTAGTATGTGTTATGCGTTGCATTTTTGAGGACAAAATCGTTAAGCCTCCGAACCGTATAATTTCCAATAAACCTTATAAGTGTGAATTTTGAGTATTTCTATATGCATACATCATTCTGTTAATGTGTGTGTATATAGGATAGTCTGTACAATTTGAACAATACACAATTTAATTTCTTACATACAAAAGGTAGCAATCAGACTATATTTATTTATATTGATTGTTATTAAACCCGGATGAAGTTCAATATTTATTTTCTTTCATTACTAATTTCATTTCATTTACAGTAGCACTAAACTGATATAACTATTTTTCAGTAGCATATGATAATTGTAAATACGGAATAATTAATAGTAAAAGACTGTTTGTTATTGTACATTTAATCATTCTCTTGTAACTATAATTAAACGGAATTCCATTTAATTGGATTAATTAGATATGGTTATCTACATGTGATAATGAATACATATGTAATATTCGATCAACAGTTACCAAGACAACCCAATTGTAATGCACCTCATTAGTGGAAACTGGAACACCTGGTTTATTTTAGAGATGTAGAAGTGGACGTTTTGCATAAAATCTATTATAATTAATCATCTATTTTAATATAACCAATAGAAATTAATTATCTTTAAACATTGTAGATCATACGATTTTTTTTAGCTACACTGACATACAGACCAAAGCCCTGTATTGTAAGCTTTCTTAATAGTTTTAGGCTAAGATGGTATTTTATTTAGCTGTGAAAAATTTATGTTGTTTTATTTAAGCCATTTATGTTCGGATGAAAAAACTGTAAACTGTAAAAAACAATGTACCATGTGAGGTTGACCTGTATGTGGTCCCCTGAAAACCACCGTCATAAATTCATGGTGAATTTACCACGATGAGCTAACTGATCTGACCTCTTGTTAATTAATCCACCCTTTACTTGCGCCCCGCCGGTACTACCGGTAACGCAGACGGTACATCAGTCAATTATCATCCATCACTACCTACTTAGAAAAGTATAGAGATTATCTTTATTTATTTATATATTTATTGATGAAGTTAATTTTACTTAATTTTAAGTACTCTGTTTATTCCATTAGAGTTATTTATAAGTATTAATTGAAGTTCATAAAATGCGATTTTATTCAGAAAATCCAAATGACTTGACTTTCCTTATTGACAAAAAAAGCTTCTTAATTTCCATTCTGACAACAATTTTCCTATACTTACTACCATTATCGACTTCTTTCAATTGCTTATACAATATATACAAAATTATCTAAAAATACCTAAATGTTTAAGTTCCTTACAGGTAATTTAATACTTTTGTTTATTGTTGAAAATATTAGTTGTCCACTACTAATATACATAGTTAGATATAAAAAATATTTCGGCAAATATAGACATAGAAAGGTACACAACGGTGGTATTACATGATCTAATACTACGCGCTTTTTGTATGACTATCTACTTGTGAAAGAATATTTAAAACTATTCCATTATTTATTCATTACAAATAAAAAAATACTGTTTTAAAGGTCATTGGGTACCTTAGTGTGAAATGTATATCCACGGCCTACAGAAAAAATATAGAGTAGGAAGTTTACATAAACATCTCTAGTTTACGAATATATATGACGCATTAATACTGACAATAGGATTCAGTACATTAGATAAATTTACAAGGATTAAAAAAAATGTAATAATAATATCTAAAAATAATAACAAAATAGAGGAAAATAAATAATTACGGCAATTACTACGATTTATTCGATATAATCAATATCAAATCTCAAGTCTACGAATATATAGTATATCGCATTAATGCAGATAATGAGATTCAGACCAAAATATAAAAATGAAAAATAATATATTAAGGTTAATTATAATAAGTTTTCGGACATTTTGTTTATTTAACAGAATGCTTCATTGAAATTGTTTTATCATTTTATATATAAATATGCTCACTGAAAACCAATTTCTTATTCATCTTTTAATTTTTATTACAGTGGTTCAAAAAAAATAACTACATAAAATTAATAATTGGTTAATACTTAACAATTTCACTTAATTTGATTTATAAAAAAATAAGTAGGAAATCTTTCGTTAAATTTTGCCCAATGACCATTGATGCGCTCATTATTTATACACATGTGATTAGAAAAGTTCACGATATTTCAGCAAGTTTCAGATTTTTCTAAATATACCTAGGTATAAACAAAAAAAATCTTTCCTCTTTCAATCTATACATATAAATAAAATTGGAGTGTCTGTTTGTAATATTAAAACAACCGTTTTTTACTGCATGTATATGAATATAAATACGGAACATATACCAAAAAACCACGTATATAAATTGATAAATTCATATTACTTTGATCAAATATATTTCATAACGTAATAAATTCTATAAACCACGATACTATCGAAGTCATCATGGAATTCGATAATCATATCTACTCTTACAAGTTTATTGACATCTGTCTATCAGATGCCTATTTGTGACACTATCCAAATTGATTCCATGAAATATTCACAGTGGTTTATACAAAAATAACTTAAACTTCAGAAACAACAAAACTAGTATTTTTCACTACTTGCAATCTTATCGTGAAAGTAATAAATAAATCGTGTTCCAAACTAAACTGGCTACTAACTTAGTTGGTGATATAGTATCCAATGTCTTTAAATAGTGACCCAGTGATTTAACACCCCTATTTTGACTGAAAGGTCGCGAGTTCAAATTTCACCGATACCAACCTTTGTGTGTCAATTTATATTTTATAGTGACTGTTCGGTAAAGGAAATACTGATAACAAATTACATCAATCTGAGAGACAGCAATCAAATTACAAAAACGTTGGGTTCAAATAAAACAAGCGAAATTGGAATATGACCAAAGTTGCATTCGTCGTGATGACAATGCTTCTGACTACCTAATTTGGGTAACATTCGTAAAGATCATCATCATTTGATGATGATGATGATCTTCAGGACTCGCAATGGAAGTCTTCCAGGCTGAAATGATGTTTCATTTCAGCCCGGAAGTCTTCCACTGCTGAATAAAATCCTCCCCCAAAATTCTTCACGCATTGCAGCAATTTTGACCAGATCGTCTGTCCACCTTGTCAGAGGCCTTCCCACGCTGCATTGTACGATCCGCGGTCGCCACTTGAGGGAGTCGAGTCTACTGCTCCTACATCTATATGTTCTATGAGCTATGTGAAGATATACAAACTCACAAAAATATTTTTTTCTAAACTAATTATTGATCTTTTGCGAGCTTCAGCATACTGTATCTTATAGCAACAGTAACAGCAAAGATTTAATAAAATTGTATTGACATGAATGCAATAGAAATCAATTCCGTGACCTCGCCTGATCTCTGAACATAACAAACGTTCATCTCACAATATTAAAGTTTCAATAAATCTAGGTCTCAAAATACAATACTACTGGTACTAGTAATATATCATCTCCGACAGATTACGGGCGATATTGGTCGATGTTAGTTTCTTTAGTAAAATTATGTTTTACAAAGAAAATGTAGATAGACATAGAGTGGTGTTGTGACATAGTAATAAAAGGAAGAATTCAAATACTGCCTAAAAATGTACGCGATTACATTATAACAAAAAGTATTTGTATTATTTTATCGTCATTTATAAAAAATGTATTTTTTTAGAAATAACACCTGTTTAAATAAACTTATAAAGTAAAACCTTATCTGATTCATTCGAAAAGTTTCTAAGAGATGAGAAATTAATATAATATATACATAGTATGTTTTAGTAATATACCTACTTACCTACCTACTTTTATATTGTGTTAAAAACACAGTATTAAATTATTACTGGTGGCTGGTTAAGACTCTACAAGATGACACCAATAAACATATATATATATGAAGTATAAAAGCTGACTCATCTCCTAATGTATCTTGGTTATAATGAGAGGATTTCAAAGTCGGGGAAAACAATGTCACCGACAGATGTCTGCATAATGGAATATGGAAATCCACAAATTATGGGTAAATGGAATACAGACATTCTAAAAAATAGAAATATTATATGTGATATTATAATACATTACTGTTGCTCTTATTTTTACATACTAATTTTAATGTAATTATTGTGATATAGTTTTAAAAATAAGGACCAAAAAAGACATGTGTCCCACATGTTTGTTGGGCACTAGTGTTGGTGCAGACGATGGTGGTAATTAAAGGTGCAGTAAAAGCTATAACAGTATATTATAAAAATAACACTATTTAATAAGTAACACTATATTCGTAGAATGAGGCAAGACTATATGGTAACAATAAAATAATAGTATAAAAAGAAGGAAAGTCGTGACAGCCAACGACTGTTTTCAAGGATGAGGTAGACAGAAGCAGTCTGTCAATCTGCAACATACGTTGGCCACAGATAATATAATATATTTCGCTAAGTATATTGGAATCATCCAACATGTTAATGAGCGAGCCTCGCGTAATCTCTCGAGTTGATTGTTCGTTTTATTATCGGTGTTTCACTGTCTCCTACATGGGATAGTCATTCAGAAAATATATAGAACAACGCATCACTAGATATGTAGTGCGATGGATCGACCTAGTCTGGCGGCGAGCGGACTCGCAATTAGAACAAAATATTCTGTTGAATTTCTATCGAACTATCATATCAGGTATTTCTTAGCAGGGCATGTTGTCGAGTAATTGTTTTATTTTCAAAGGTTTCATAGAAATTTATTTTAAAAAATGTATGAAACCCTTATAAGCCGTTGTGTTAATTA